AATGTGGACGGAGCGTATTGCAAGGATGCTCGGGTTGCGGCTATAGGCATTGTTGCTAGGGACTTGCATGGTATGGTTATTGGAGGGGGGCAATGAAAATTAATCCTCCGTTTACGGCTGAATCAACGGAAGTAGACGCTTTCACCCAAGGTATTCACTTTGCGCAAGAGAATGGATGGAACAATGTCATTATTGAAGGCGATGCCATTTCGATTATGTACAAGTTGTCGAACGGGAATTCTAGTAAGACCCATGACATTTCTACTATTGGATTGTTACTCAATGAGGCAAGATTGAGTTTGGCTTAGCATCCTTCTTTTAAAGTTCATTATGTTTGTAGGGATGCTAATAGAGTTGCTCACTCCATAGCTCAATGGGCTTTATCGAATCACAATCCAGTCTGGTTTTTCCTGGATGAACCTGAATGTATCAAACAACGTGTAATCGATGATGCTATTGAAATATAAGAAGCTTTTCCTTCAAAAAAAAAAAAAGGTGTCCCATTCTCTTATTTATTATTATTATTCATTCTGGAAAATGAGAAAATTTATAAAGACGGAGTTGGTGTTTATGATTCTCTTTATATTATTATTCCTATAAATTTTACTTTATATTACTAAGGTATCTTTGATTATCTGTTTGTACGTGCGTGAACACAAATTATTGTTACCACATGGACAATAGAAAATTATTGCCACCTCAACAACCAAAAATAAAACTCAGTAAATCAATGAGAAAACCAGAAAAAGCAATAGCCAATCCTTAGATTGGATCAAGGTCCGAGTTAAAGTTTGGTGACGATATGATGGTGAACGATGGAGCCAAGAGAAAAAATAACTATAAATATTAGCTTCATTTTTGTGACACTTAAGATCCTTCAGCAATAAATCAAAAGAGATAGGGTAAATTACAAATTTAGAGCCAAATTGATCACTGTGTAAAAATTGATGGTTCAATTTGTTATTATACATATTTTTAAAGTTGTCACACCATCATTCCAGTGGTCATTTAAAGGAGAGTGATAATAAATTAATTAATTAATTAAAAAATATTAGTGATCAATTTGCATTTTTTTTGCACAATTAAGTGACCAAAAGAAAATTTGATCAATGATTAAGTGGTCACAAATATAAATATATAATTTACCACATAGAAAACAACAATATAAAAAGAGATAGGGTAAATTACAAATTTGGTAGCTAAACTTTAATCTCTCTCCTATTTTATCCATTGTACTTTAAATCTTTTTAATTTCCTCACTATTCCTCACTAAACTTAAAACATTGGATTTTCAACCGTTTTCTCACTAACGATGTTATAAATGAGATGTTATATGGATTTAAAATGACGTTGTTTTGGTAAAAAATTTATTTTTTTAAACTACATCGTAACTCCATTAATTATTTAACACCAGAGTGATCAAATCAATATATTAAATTCAATAAGAAAATTGGTCATGTCCACATGTCTCCAGAGGGCAAATCCTCTTATATTTTATTTTATAGAACTTAGTTTCTTCCTTTGTTGAACATAATTTTATAGGAAATAATTGGTCAAAGGATAGGGATTTACTTGAATGAAAGCTGAAGCCTATTGAACCAATTGTGTTGTGTATGAATTGGTCGAAGGATATTATCCTGGAGGTAGGCTTAGGACTGCAGAGAGACTGCACCACCTCCTGTGCTATGTAGAACAAGAATAACACATAATGCAAGCATAGTATTTGAGGAAGCACAATTCATTTTCACACGAACCAACCAACAACCAAAAGAAAAGAAATGACTTCGACAAAACCAGCAATTTCTCTTGTAAATCGTACACAGAACAGTCAACTGGCTCATTCAATCAAGGATACACACTATCTCTCCATTCATCATATTAATAATATCATTGATGCTAAGCACAGTTAGAAAAACTAAATCATCAAAGAAATGACTTCCACAAAACCAGCACTCTCTCTTGTAAATTGTACTCGTACATCTTTGGAAGGTAAGACAGTCTACTGTTGTTGGGCTTTCATTATTTGCAATGTTGGGTTGCTCACTGGATGCTTTCCAAGAAGCTATTATAGGCCGCCCCAACATTGGGTTAGAGACCGAAGGCCAGTAAATCCGCCCAGATCCATCGTTCTAAATTTCTCTCTTATACATTTCTATGGGTTATTATGTACATCTGTATTGGAATTTTTTAACTGTACAAATAAGGTGAAGAACTATCTTTCTTTTTATTTTTTAAAATATTTATCAATAATACATTTTATAAATATTTATTTTTTAAAATATTTATAAATACGTTATAAAACACCAGAACGACAGCAAAGATAAACATATGCCAACAGTTAAGATTAACCCCAAATAGAACCCCGTGACAGACAAATAACATGAGAAATAAAATTCTCACATTCTCAAATATAAGAGATTTGTTCAAAACAATTAATTATAAAGTAAAAACAAATGCATGATTGATTCAATTATGATAACGTATCGTTAGTTGGTGAAACGATATTGGGTACCCATCCAAAATCAAATTGATGTGATCAGATTAGACTATGAAATGCAACGAAAACCAGTACCCATAATTACATGGATTTCTTTATTACGAATTAAAGAAAAAAGTTTCCTTAACTGTTCATTTTATATTTTTATATAATACTTGCATATATATCTTTGGATATATATTCTTCCTCAATTGAATTTTATTAATAAATACGAAAGAAAGAATTAGAATTACAACGCACCTCGACATAAAGAGAAAATAATAGAAACAATAGTCACCAAGAAATTCGTACAAAAATAAGAATATTAAACCCAAAGATACAAAGAAAAACGAAACCTTTCATCGAGAATGACGACCAACATCAAAAGAACTCAATAACCTTCATAAAAAAAACTCATTGTCTCCGTCGAACGAGACGTCTTACAAAGTGATAAAGGAGTGGTGAGCGAACCAAACTATCTGGCAGGCTGCTACGTTACACAATTCTGATTATATTGGCAAATAACCTTTTATCAAAGAGAGAATATGACTATATTTGACCACCGACAAACCAATTAGAAAATAAAATGTCGTTTGTGTGAGCACCAAAATTACTGTAAAGGTATGCAAAAAACATACCAAAAATCATAAGCATCGTGTCACAAGAGCAGAGGAAACACGTGCTAAAAGAGCAAAGAAAAACGTATCACAATGATAAATATTCTTATTTAAAATTGAAAAAAAAAAACTCAAAAAAAAAAAACATAATAGGAGAAAATAGGAGAACTAACTAAATAAACAGAAGTAAAAAAAGAAAAGGGTACAAAGATATTAAGAGAATAATAGTTTAGAAAAGGCTCTTTGGATATTTCTTTGACATTGAAATTAATACTCATACGTGTATATTTGATGGGGACTTGAACTGGGAGTGGAAAGTCTTGGTGTAGGCCAATGATCGATTGGAACAAGAATTATGAAAAGCAATAATGCCTTATTTGGTCTTTGCTGTTTTGCTTCTGCCCTTTCTTTTCTTAAAAATTCTCAGCCATATTTCGTGTTTATCAACAATATATCATTAATATCCACCTGATTTTTAGCCAATAGAGGGTGTGATAATTGCATACGTCAAGCAATCTCAGTCACCATAAGTGAGTGATATATATTGATGTGCACCATTTATAATATGTATTGATATATACTATTAATATAAAAACATAGTAGAATTCATAAATAGATATTAAATTTATAAAAATCATTTCATTTGTAATTGAATTTTTAAAAGTTATAAAATATTTATTAAACTTCGAATTTTATTAAAAAATAGACGGTGGCCATGAAATATTGTTAAGGGATAACAAGTCACGCTAAATTAATAGGAAATATTTTAATTGGCTCCTCAATTGTAACTAAAATTTCATTTTTGATATTTTTTCAATATTTTAAATAATAATTTTAAAAAGAAATTAGAATATTTAGAATGGTTAGGATCCACTTACACAATGTAAAACACTTTAGTTTTACAACGATTTAGGACCGTTAGATGAGTGAAAATAGATGACTGAAATTAACTTATTTTTTTCCAGTGAATATCTTCTCATTTCCTATTTTTAATCTCAAACATCTATTTTCACTCATCCAACGGTCGTAAATATATGTAAAACTAAAAGAGTTTTAGTTTTACATTGTATAACAAGATCATATCCCTATTTAGAATATTTTTGAAAAATATATGGAAACAATTTATTTTTAAAATTGAAAATTATAAATTTTTTGAAAAAATTTCATTCATCAAATTATTTTATCACTAATTATTTATTAATCAAGATTGTATTTGTAAAATTAAAAATTTATAATTTTCAGATTTAAAAAAATTGAATTATCAAACAATTTAATTATTTTTTATTAAACAATGTGATTCAAGCACTTGACTTTTGCTTAAGAAGTTTAAACACATTTTTTAAAATACATTCAGAAAATTATAGTGTCATATTAATAAGAAAAATACATCCAAACTGAAATAAAAATAATTTAAATAATCCTTAACTTTTAATAATGTATTAAGTAATTTATATGGTATAAATTCGATATTTATAATATGACACTAAAAATATTATTTAATTTATTTATATCGATTTTATTTTCAATTCAATGAACATAATAAATATTATTTTAATTAAAATTACAAGTAAAATGAATTTTTAGTTACAATTAAAGGGTAAAATGTGATTTCCCCCTATTAATTTAGCATGCCACATCACATCTTTAAAGATAGATAATCGCGTTGTGCCCATTTTATAATAAAATCTAAAGTTTAATGTCTATTACATAATATTTGAAAGTGTGGTGGCTAAAAAAATCATTTCCACATAATTTATTGTCTATTAATAAATTTAACCTTATAATATTAATGGTGGATATCAATGTTTGACATTCATGCTAAGATTTTTCCCACCGCAAAATAATTATTGATTTTAAGTTTTCGATAACTAGAACATTACAAAGAGGAAATAAATTACAGCATTTTCTTAATATAGAGAGTGAAAATTACATAATAACTCAAGACTTGCATGGAGTTCAAGCCCATATATATGTTTATAAATCATCGAAGACGGTCTCAGTTCAAAAGAATTTGCTCACATATTTCGGGAGGAGCGGGCGAAGTAGGGCTCTGTATGCATTCTCCGTTGGATGATAACTGTCCCAGAATATATACTTTGAGACGTTTGTACAAGTAGTTGGACTCCATTTATTACACAAAATTGCTACCTCATAGTACCCAAATCCACAGCAGCCTTTGTCTGCAACTTCAAAGCCTGAAAACCCCACAAATTGAACGGTCGTTTTTGACGACCGCCTTGTGTAAAATAACAACAACAAAAAAAGGAGTTTAAAGGGTAAGGTTTTAGTTACCATATTCTCCAGGGTTTTTAATGAGATCAAACAGCGGATTGTAGATATCTACGTACACAAATCTCCCATCGGGCATGCTTGTTCCAAGGGAATTCAACGCTGCGTATAGCTTTTTATTGAACGATCTAGCTGCCACGTTATAATCATTTGCGCATCCCCTTTCAATCCCTCCTGACAAAGTTCTTTGTGATGGCACACAGCCGATTGGAGGTGTACTAAACACCCCTATTCTTCTTGCTCCCAAACCATACAGTTCCTTCCAGTATTTTTCATTAAATAATGATAATAATGAACTTTCAAGGCTAAATGATTAATGTGTTGGCATGAAGATTTGAAATACCTTTAAAAAGTGTGTAGCCGAGTTAAGCATTAAATCAGTGTAAGCGGGAATGTCGTACTGCAATTTCCTGGCACGGAGAACAAAATAGGTATTGGCAAGGTCGTCGCTACCTGCTACAACCAGATATAAATTCTTGGCCAAGATGAACTTTGTTCTCTCTTCTCCAACAAGTTGTTTCAGCTTCGCTATGTATTCTCTGAAGTGATCTAACTGGGCCGGCATCGATATTACGGACTGATAAACGACATTGGTAAGAAGCAAGAATGAAACACAAAGGTAATTAACAAAAGGAAGTTTTAGTTAAGAAGAAATATTATGTACCACCAGTTGGGCAGTCAAAGAATCATATCCGCTGCCACCTGACGCAAAGCTTACTCCTGTTATGAGATCCTGAGGTTTTAAATTTGGATCCAAATATGCTGGCACTGTATCTTTTATTCCCAGTTCTTTAGCTGAAGATTGTTTAAACAAAGAAAAGAAAAGTGAGTCTCACCTCATTATTCCATCTGTCACTCTAAAAAGTTATTAAAATTATAAAATAATTATTAAAAATTAATCAATTCTAAAAAATATCATATTAAAATAACATAAGTTGATAGAAAAAAATATTAATATTAATCAAAAGAATACATTGATATATATTTTTTAAAGTTCAAAAACTTATACTCCGAAAAAAGGTAAATTTATATGTATGTATAATATATAGTACAATTTTAGATACGCTGAAAGCTTATGACGTATGTACACCTTTGACATAATACAGAAAATAATTAATCAGATAATGCTACTGAAAGTGAATATTTTTCATGAAAATTTCTGCTATTTGTAGGAGCACTTTTATTCATAGAACAGGGATAAATTTTGATTTAATATTAATTTTTTTTTATTTTATTTAATAATACACGATTAATAAATAACTAACACTGTTAAGAAATTTAACTAATTGTTCGTATAAGTAAAGAATGTATGTAGTAAATAAAGATGATGTATAACATTTACAATTATTCCATCCTACAGACAACCATTAAAGTTAATGTATGAAGAGTAGTTTTTGTTTCCCGTCCCGTTTTGACGTACTAGAAGAGAAGAATAATATATATGTAGTTTGTCAAAGTGATAAGCCAACACCAGATGTTTTTCAGTTTGATTTTCTCTGAGATGCAAGAAGAAGAAGAAGAAGAGGAAGAAGAAGAAGAAACTTGGCTACAAACTAAAACAAGAAGATGAAGCATAGGGAAAATTATAGGATACGTGAGAAAGAGAGAGATTTGATTAATTAGTACCTATGAAATCGGAAGGGACTTTTCCGTTGCAAAACCTTCCTGTTGGAACACCGCCTTCAAAATCTTGGCCGTAGGGGGGGAAGTTGGACTTGATAAGAGTGGGGAGATTGTTGTTGTTTCCGGGGTCAACAATTGAATCCCCAAACGCCATAACACCGGTAACCATTTCATTCGGTGGTAGCTTTATCAATGCCGTCGTTTTGAATATCAAAAGTGAAAATATTACCAACAGACGAGACAGCCAAGCGGTTGAGGAAGCTGAGGAAAATGTCAGTTCCATTCCGGAATTATTTTTTATGTGATACTCGACTTTGATCAAAGGTTGTTTGTGTTCTCACTCGTGCTTCTTGGCCTTTTTATACATGCAAACCACAGGATTTCATCCAACGCCACGTAGACATATTTAAAACTGACATCAGAAATGCAAGCAAAACAATGCAGTCATTTTCAGAACTTGGATAATTTAAAATGTCTGTTGTTTTAGTGTAACTAAAGATATTATAGAAACATGAAACGCAGACGATGCAAATTTTATTATTTACTCCAATCAGTTTAAGCGTTTGAAGTCAAAGTTTTTCAAAGATAGAGGGTTTAACAGTAACGAACGTAACCGATTTATTTTAATATAATTAGTAACCAGACTTGAATTTTTAATTAAAAAAAAGTAGAAGGATTGGATTCCAAATCTAAGAAAAGCCAAGGATTAGGAGCATATTTTAACCAATATTAAATTATATATTTAAGTTAATTAATTTTAAGTTGAAAACTGTTGTACCAGCTCAACTGCTCAAGTACACGAGGATTAAAGATCAAGATTCACAACCAACAACCAATTAGTCTAGTGGGATGAGGTACTAGGTCCCTTAAGTAAGGTCAGGGGTTCCAATCTTGACGATTGTGAATGGAGTAAACTGGGTTGGGAGAGTCGCTCTCGCCTCTGCAGTACCCGATTTGGATTAGTCGGTCAATAGATCGGATATCAGTGATTAATTCAAAAAAAAAGATCAAGATTCACAAGGCGCGTAGGAACAAATAACCGAAGGATGGAGGTTATATTATGAAGATGAATGACCGCAAACTCTAAATACGATCAATAAAACAAATAACACTAATCAAATGAGCGATTGTTAATTGTTATAGCTTAAATGTGCTTGAACTTGGTTCTACGTTTTGGAATTCTTACTAGTGATGGATTCCTTCTATATTTGAAGCACACACAAGTCCAAAAACTCAAAGCTTAAATTAGAGCATTTGCCGAACATTTTTTATCAAAAAAGAAATTGAACTCCCGTTTAAGATGACTGAAGCCACAACAGCATATTTGTGACGCATGGAAAGATTGTTATAAAGCAATTGGACAAGTTGGAAAAAGAGCTAGGTCTTGACCAAGACCTCGTGTGGAAAGGTGGAAAAAAGGCGAAAAGATGAACCGTAGTTATCTCCTTTAACACAAACAGAATCTTTATGAAACAAAATTAAAGTAGTTTGGAAATTAGAGATTCTTCCTTGTGCCAAGTTGTCAATTTTATTAGATTAATTGGATCTTTAAGTGTAATTAACTAATTGGATGTAATCTATTTGTTGATTGGTGATATATTTGATGTTCTTAGGTTATCTGTAAGATTTTGAATTTAAATCTTGTAAACGAATAAGTAATAATGTTAGGAGAAATTTTTTCGTATTCAAAAGTCTAATTCAACTCAATTCCATATATAATTGGATGTCTATACAAGTACAAGACACCACGGTATTGCATGCACATATCATCTCCTTCCGTTGCACTATTCATGTGATGTTGAATTTAGAATTGCTTATAGCATTACTAGATGTTGCTTAATAGTACCTAACTTCCTTACTTGAACCATTTAATTTTGGTGTTGGGAAACTTAAAACTTCAAGAATAAATAATGTCTATAACTAAACTATGAATCTGATCATTAAACCACCCTCTGCTCTCTGCAACAGGTGTCTTTAATGGTGAAGTAGGAGTGCAATTCTGCAAATGCTTATAAAATTTAAGAGAATTAACATCTTAGACTCAATTGTTATGAACCAAACCAGCCAACGGTCATTGAAATCTCCCATCTGCTCATCTTTATGATATTGGACAACAAACTATTTGGCGAAGCAAGTCGTGGTTAATTTTGATTTTAACATTAATGCGAAATCTTTGAATCATCTAAAAGATTTGACGTGGGATGAAAATTGAAAGGTTAATCTTTTAGAGGAAGCTGTGCAACCCACAACCACAAGATTATTATATCAATTAACTGATCTCAAATTTGTATATGATAAACCGGCAATCAGTTGATTTCGATTGCTGATGTAATGGTAGGAGATTAATTCTTGTTATACTCCTAACATTTACAAATGAAGCAAATTAAATTGAAAAGATTACTCTCAACTTTGGGCCTTTGTAGAATCCGATTTGGAACAATCGATCAATTCAAGTGATTAAACCAAAAAAAAAAAAAACTCAGTGTAAAAGTTAAATTCCTCGTGAGACTTGTAAATTATAAGTTGAATTAGTATGGTGCAGTCATCAAATGCATGTAATTAAAGTAGATCTTATTCCCACTTACCCCACCATTGCAAGAGCATAAAACATACAAGAAAACAAGCGCAACCGTTGTACCGGGAAGCACTCTCGTCATAATTATAAATAAAAAGGATCTGTAAAACTTATAAACAGACATGGCTTGAAGGGATGGCCAAGGGGTCCGACAGGTTGAACAAATAAATGAACACACAAACCTAATCCATATTAGTTTTATTATAATCACAACCTCAACAAGAAATTAATTGAGAAAATTAGGAGCCTTTGCTGGTGACAAAAGCCCATGATCAATGGGCACTGACAAGGAAAGGATGCTGGCACACCCCACATTCAACGGTCTCGGAGCCTGAGCTGGGAACTTGCACCTGCAAAAATTCTCAAATTCAGCAAAACTACAGGAAGAATACAATAAGCTTTGCGGTCCTCAAATGGTTTGGCACATGGATTACAGACCTGCAAATGAACAGTGCAGGTAGGACAGGCAACTTCCTTCATCCGCCTACCAGATCCGTTAGACTTGGAGCCTACCAAAATGAAACCATAAAAAGAAAGGTCCACATAATATTATATTTCCCCCTTTATTAAATGTGTCCTACAACATATCCTACCCTGACTTTTCACCCAGCTACATCAGTCATTGGAGTTAAAACTGTCTCTATTATTCAAGCAACACCATGAGTATGACACATTTATAAGCTCTTCCATTTTTTTTACTAATATTATATTGTGCATACATGTCTGTGCAAGTATCTTGTTTCACAATATCATACAACACTCGGGGTACCAAAATTACCTGATAATGCACTGCGACCTTTTCCCATCTCCTCCTGTCATAAGTCATCATAATTGGACAATTCACATAAGTGATTCAGCTAGTTTATCTTAAGTTGCTTTAAGATCAATATTAAAATCATACAGTTCCAAACTGATGCATACCTGAAGCTTCCTAGCAAGATCCTCATGACTCTGTAACACAGTAGGTTTACTTGCTGCTTCCTTGGCATTACTCAGCCTCCGAGTGACTTCAGCCTATAACAAAACAAAAAGAACCAAGAATGATAGGTATTCTACATATAAAGGTCTCTCCCCAATAAATATTTTCAAAAAACTGAAAGGAACTATGAACAACTTAAAATTCTTTCATCATTCAGCAAACAACTATGAACAATATGCTCAATCTTCCCTGCATCAACCTACCCTTGAACTGCATAATCAAATTCAGTTGTCTAACCACTTTAAACAATAGCTTTGAGGGCAGAGAAGAAAAGGATTTCAAGACTACACCACAAGAAAACAGATATTAGACTCTTTCATGGCTCTTGCATTGGTCAGTCACCTAAAGATAGATTTCAAAATAAAGGACACTATAGAAATACAGATGCACTATAGAAATACAGATGCTCAACATGTTCAACCAAGTTCGCTTACAATCTGTAAAATATGTTCTTGTCATCCTGATTCTTATCACACACCAATGCCTAACTGTTATGCTAAGTTGTTAAAGACCATTAACATGATAAATAACCAGATACTATTTTGCTATGAAAGAATGGAGGTAAGAAACTGATTGATAACCATACCATGCATCGGTCACAAACCCTAACTGGTTGGGCATTCTCATCAGCAGTTAGAGCAGTTCTACCTTGGGTACACTTGTCACAGAAAATATCCCCACAGTTCCTGCAGTGGTGCTGAAATAGAAAAGGGGGAACGATGCGTTAAAGCTTAAATTGTGAAAGTATGCAAGCAGGGGATCTTTTCCAAAAACAGAGGGGCTGCCATACCTTCCGTACAAAGGCCCCAAAATCTGTTGCACATGCTGTGCACTTTGAAACAGCTTCATCAGGGACCTAGCGAGAAAAAGAATATTGAGATAAGCCCGCAATTAGCTTTCTTAAATATGATTTTATTTGACCTGCAATATCTAGGTGAAAGGGGGAAAACATATTTGGAACTCTAATTTTTACCCAATGATCTTTCTCCTCAACACCAGGCTTTATAATATTCATCCAATCAGCAATTCCTCTCTTCTTTTCTGCAGATTGTTCAGCAGTCTTTAGAGGTTCAGGAGGCCTACTTTTCCAACCCATCTCCTTGATCTGTAATAAACATATGAAAGAGTAAAGTCATCAAGACACATACATATGCAAAGCTCTACACAAGCCTGATGTACCAATCAAAGGAAAAGAAAAGAAAGGAATCAAGTCATTCATGTACGAGGATTGGGGAAATTCACCAACAAGGTATCGGAAGAAAAAAATTGAAAAAACATTAAATGCACATAAGCTTACAGCCTACAGGAACCGGACAAGAGTAGAATGACAAACCCTCGTATCCTTCACGTGAATAAAAGGCTTATTATTAAAAAATTGAGTGCTCCAGACGACATATATATCTTGCAATGCACTCTCTTCTGAAGACACTTCAATCACAATGCCATATTAAGAGAAATAAGATTATTCTTACAGATCATATTTTCTTAAGCTATAACAAACGATGTTCAATGATAATTCACTGCGTTGCTCCTTCCAACCCTCCTAAATATCAAATGGAGTTTAAAACTCAGACGCACGCATGTTAAGCTATGGAAAAGTTTACTATAAATATGGAAATTGGAAAGTGAAAAAAAGAAAAATGAAACAAGAGTATAAATCGGTGAAGTGAAAAATTAGAACTGCCGGATTCCTGAATACAGATTAGCTGATTTTGCACACATGTGTATGCATCTTTCTGCAAATAAATGAATTAATA